GCCCAGATAATCTAACCCAAACGATTATTGACTTTAGCATCTCGGACTTGGCTAAGGCAGTTTGTGACAGATGTTGCGTTATACAATTGCTACTTAGAAGCTGATCACAGACCACTCGTAACTAAAATAACAAAGCCGGCCAATAAATAGCCCACTTCCGCACACATAAACTAGGGTGGGGAAATAGATACAACATCCAAGCCCTTAAAAATAGAAATGTAAGATTAGAATTCTGTAATCTACAAGGATCCTTTTTTTCCTTTATTATCTATGGATTTTCATGCATTCTTGTAATAGATAAGGGAACGATTTTCCCTTACCTTCTGTACGATTGTGGAATTAAGAGCTTTTTTTCCTCTCTCTTGGGCTGGTTACCGGAGAATGTTAGAGAGCCCTCGACACTTAGTTTGTGATTCATGCTTTCCCTAAGGGAATTAATGTAAAAGTGAACTCAATAGACTAGATCGTCTTATTTTCCGCTCCATTCGTTATTATATAAACTGCAAACCCTCTTAGGGGTTTGGGGGCCCTTCAAAACCCTTGCGGGCCACTTCAAATCACTTTGGGGGGCACTCCAATCCCTTTTTGTGGGGTGGCACTGCAAAACCTTTTGGAGGTACTCCAAGAGGCATAATCAAAGCACCAAGAGGTTCGTCTTTATTCGAGAAGGCGCTGTCTACACGTCGGAGTGCTGAAAGTTTCCGAGACCGACCAACTTCACAAAATCAGGTCAAATGAAAATGAATATCCTTGATTGTACTGAAAACTTTTCAGCACGTTCTCCTTGCAAGCTCTGTGCGAAACCCAAAACACGGGACAAAACTTGGACTGTTTCTTTTGCTGGCGACCATGAATTCTGTAAATAGTCCTTTCTTCTTGATTTCCGCTACGAGAAATTGTCTTAGTCTTCTTCCACTTTCTTTTCAGAGTCTGCGATCAGCACATTGTTATTCTATCTATCTATCTATCTATCTATCTATCTATCTATCTATCTATCTATCTATCTATTACAGAAGGTTCATTATCTATCTATCTATCTATCTATCTATTACAGAAGGTTCATTATCTATCTATCTATTTATCTATCTCCCCATGTTCGCTATCTATCTCATTCTGCTCATATCTATCATGAAGCCGAGATGCTAGGTCAGGACCGATAACCCTTGTTTTGATTTTGTCGATAATATCAAGATCTATAGCAGGAGCAGCTGACCAAATATGGCAGCAATATTCAATGCACAGACGAATGGTAGATTTATAAATATACAAGATAGATTCTGTTGGGGAAAATTGTCTAGCGTAAAAGTGAACCAAATTTCCTAGCAGCCTTTTAATCAGTATCACTCAATGCAAGGCAACAAAGCCACTAAGACACAAGGGGTGACAGGGTATGGAAGAATTAGGAATAGAGAAATTAATAATAAGCGGGAAGAGGAAAAAGTAATCAGGCTACACCATATAGCGATTAACATTGCATTTCAATTTTTGCAGATTAAAGTTAGCTGGAAAGCATGGAGCCGGTCGGAGTTCCACAAGCGAGAAGTGCGAGAAAAGAAATTGTTCGCATAGAATTTACGGTTAAATCTACCCAGCTCAATTATGAATTGATGAGATCTCGACGCCAGTCTAGTAGTGGGCTTAAATTTGAAAAGTCTATGAAACCATGGCGAAGAGCGATTTTTATTCCGCATTACATCCTGAAATGTGGCACAAAGCCAAAATGGCGAAGGGGGAAAAGAAAGGTCTTCTTTCTGTTCTAACATTACACTTAACTAGCCAGATCATTGACCCAAACATACCACAATATTCCTTAGACCAAAACAACGCATTCTTACTTAGCATTCCTACAACATCCACCATAATACCACAATGTCTCGAAAAAATTCCAACTTGTCTCCTTATGTACATTTTTTGTCTGTGCAGAGTAGGGAATATAATAACAATTTAAAAATCTAATCTCCAATATGAACCATAGCGAAAAGCGATAATGTACAGAAAATGTGGCACAAGGTCAAAATGGGGAATGGGGAAAAGGACGGTCTTCTGTGTTAACGTTAAACTTCGCTAGCCACAAACACTGACCCAAATATACAATATTTCTTACACCACAAGAACCACTTTCTTACTACAGCCACCATAATACCGCAATGTCTCTATGAAATTCCTAACTAGTCCCAATATGTACAATTCTTGCCTGTGGGGAAGGGGAATTAAACAACAAATTTTAAAATCTAATCCCCAATGTGAACCATAGCAAAGAGCTCATCCGAACAATTACCATAAAAATACATATTGATTCAATATAATCACTGCACTTCGTGCCAGTGGAAAACCTGAGACAAATAAGTCGCAATGAGTCGTTATGATGGAGGTTAGCATCAGCCATACTAATGGAGTGTAAAATAGTTCTGTATGATGATTAAAAGGTAACAGCTGACCATATTTATCATAAAAGGAATTTGAAGATGGAAGGCAAAATATGAATGTTGGGACCATTTCTGAAGGCCTGAATGATCTTTTTCCTCTCACCATTGCTCAGTTGCGTAGACATTGTGGGGCTGATACAAAACGATTTTAAACTGTTCACTCTCTTGCTGAAAGGGTTTTTCCATGATTCTTACGACAAATGGTTTCAAGCGTCTTATCTGAAAACCTGTAAAAAGAAACTCAATTAGTTTAGAGTTTTTTTTTTGTTTTTTTGTTTTTTTTAAAGATATTAAACATTTTGTGCGATGGACAATTATCCCATCCTGTTACACGATTTGTCCAAGTGTGATGTTATATCCGACATATATATATATATATATATATATATATATATATAACTAGACTTGTTTCGAAAAACCCTCGAATTTTTGATTTGCTAATAATCAAATCAATCTCGAGGGAAAAAAGGTTTTAAAAAAAAAGAAAGAGCTACAAACATGAACTTCTGCCGACAAAAAAATCGCACAGATGCAGGTCTGAAGCCCAAAGAAAAAACCCCTGATACGAGTAAACAACTAACAAAAGCGCTCAATACAACCGTAGAGCAGACCTAGATAAACCTAGTGAGCCAGACAAACCTACCTAGGTTTTCACCTAAACGGATCGTCAGGGAAAGTAAGGCTTACTTTCC